GCCCACCTTTAACTTAAAACAGATCTGAGAGTAAGGAGTCTCTAGGAATTGCAAAACTGGTAGCTATGGACATTAGCTTTAGATGAACCAACAAGGAAAGTTAGGAATAGTAAGATGAACCATCCAACTAGAATGGTAAAGAATAAAGTCTTCAGTTCACAAGACAGCTCATAAATCTAGTTTAAAAAATTTCAGGACTGCCAAGCACAGGGCACATACCTGTAATCCCAGCAGCTCAGGAGGCTAAGGCAGGAGAAATGCAAGTTCAAAGCCAACCTCAGCAACTTAGTGAGGCTCTAAGCAACTTATTTATTTTCTAAAAAAATATAAAAAGGGCTGGGGATGTGGCTCAGTGGTTAAGTGCCTGTGGATTCAATCACCGTATCAAAATAATAAGATTTTTTAAAAAATTTCAGTACTGATCCTACTTTAAAAAAAATCAAATGACAAACTGRAGAAAGATACTAGCAACATATGTCAAAAGGCTTATTCTTAATATACAAGAGTTTTGTTTTTTTTTTTAAGTTGTTGATGGACCTTTATTTTTTTATTTTTTTGTATGTGGTGCTGAGAATCGAATCCAGTACCCCACACATGCCAGGCAACTGCGCTACCACTGAGCCACAACCCCAGCCCTAACAAGAGTTTTATGTCAACCATTCCAAAGAATCTTAAGAAAAGAAATGTAACCAAAACATAACACCTGATATCAGCCATAAGTAATATTTACATGTCATAATACACAGTGAATACTTACTTAACTAAAAATTGGAAGTATGTGAGGAGTATCTACTTCCTACTTTCCAAAGCATAAAATATAAAGGTAAAAATGTATGTCAATATCAATGTTACTTTAGAGAGGTCAGTGGGCTGGGGTTGTGGCTCAGTGGTAGAGCGCTTGCCTAGCATGCGTGAGGCACTGGGTTCAATCCCCAGCAACACATAAAAAAATAAAAACAAATAAAATACAGATATTGTGTACATCTACAACTAAAAAATTATATATATTAAAAAATAGAGAGGTCAGTATTAGAAAAGAAACTAGAGAAATAGAAAGTGGTTGTTATAGAAGAACTAGAGATTCTGAGTTGGGCAAAAGTGTTCTGCCTTTTTTRTTTTTAAGAATTTAACCTTTGGGCTGGGGTTGTGGCTCAGCAGTAAAGCACTTGCCTAGCACGTGCGAGGCCCTGGGTTCGATCCTCAGGACCACATAAGAAATAAAATAAAGGTATTGTGTTCAACCACAACTAAAAAATAAATTTTTTTTTTTAAAAAGAATTTAACCTTTATTTATTTATTTATTTTAATGTGGTGCCAAGGATAGAACCCAGTGCTTCACCCATCCTAGGCAAGTGCTCTACCACTGAGCTACAAGCCCAGCCTTGTGTTCTGCTTTTTAAACCGTGCAGAATTATGTAATTCTTTTTTTGGAGGGGCGGGGGGCAGTACTGGGGATTTAAGAAGGGATGCTCTACTACTGAGCTGTATCCCCACCCAACCTGCCTTTTTTTCTTGTTAATTTTTGAGGCAGGATCTTACTAAATTGCCAAGGCTGGCCTCAAACTTGCAATCCTCCGACCTTAGCCTCCTGAGTTGCTGGGATTACAGGCTACCACACCCTACACTACTTGGCTTTTAAAACTATGATAAAGAAATATACTCAGTGAGTCAAAAAGCATTGGTACCCACCGGGTATGGTAGCACTTCCTTATTTTTCACTGTCTCTAAGAAAAAACAGCTCCAACTTCTGATAAGCTTGAAAAAGGATAGTAGATGGCATTGTACACAGGCCACTTGGGCAATTTTTCTTCTTCCAAAGTTAGTATTAATTAAAGCAATAAAAATATTCATTATACACAAGTTTTAACAAAACCAACATAAATCATTGTATAATAGTAGCATAAAGCAGGATATTACAGATTTCCTTTTCTTATTTTCTAAACATATGGGTTTAAGTTTCACAGTGAATGATATTCTATAGTGTTGGCATATCCTCTCACCAATGAAGTTCAGTGTTTACAATGTGTGGTCATTAAGAAATGATATGACTATGCATATTCCTTGTACAACAGGACTCATTAAATTGCAGTCATATTTCTTATTAAGAAGGAACTAATCAGTGGCTTTCTATTAGCAGCCTGATGAGTCCTATAGAAATTCCAATGAGGAAGCAGAAGAAATCCCATACATTCAGAATGGAATTAGGGTTACCCAAAACTCATCTCTTAACTATTTCCACAGTGGGTTTTTCTTTAGGATGCTGTTTAAGGAAAGGATTCCACAGCTTACCAAAAAAAAAAAAAAAAAAAAAAAAAGTAACTAACAAAAACCACTGTATTACATATATGTATCCTCACTTTTTACAGTGTAGGTTTTTTAAAATCTCTGCAGAATAGCCAACACTATATAGTTAAGAAATTTTCTAAATATAAGCACAGAAATGCCAAGAGTTCACACTCCATACTTGATTTATGAGTTTTCCTATTTTTCCAGACTTGATTAATTAAGTCTTGGTAATACCCATTTTATAGAGTAGGCACAATAATCACACATTAAGAAACAAGGATCTTGTCCCAGATGTCAATATGAAGCACAGCAGGGTCCAGACATGAAGACCCACCTGCAGTGGCTTATTCTACCAGACAGACCTAGTTCTAAAAGCCTTGATGTCAAGCCCATTCCATACATTGTGACCTGAAGGTACAGAAGCCCCTCCCAATGGCTTAGTCTACTGGATGGCACCTAGTTCTAAGAGCCTTGATGTCATGAAGGCCTTCCATACATTGTGACCTGAAGGTACAGATGTCCCTATATATAGCACATGCTAACATCAGAGTTAGTTACAGGCCAATGTTGCCTAAAACGTATGCTGGATCAAGGGCAAAGTTTGGCTTCTCTTCATCCTATGCTTCAGACTATCTCTTGGTTCTCTTCTCGAGAAACCACTTCCAGAAGCAAAATATAGAACAGGTGAAAATCTGAAATATGAAACAGAAGACCTGGGTTCAAATTCTAGCTCAACCTATTCATATTCCTTTCACACCTTAACTCTCAAGGTTTCAATGTCTTCATTTAAGATCATACTGACTCTAATAGACTATTAGATGAATTAGGGCTGGGGATGTGGCTCAAGTAGTAGCGCGGTTGAATGGCATGCGTGTGGCCCGGGTTCAATCCTCAGCACCACATACAAACAAAGATGTTGTGTTGCCGAAAACTAAAAAAAATAAATATTAAAATTCTCTCTCTCTCCCTCTCTAAAAAAAAAAAAAAATATGTATAATAGACTATTAGATGAATTAAATGAGAAAATGGCAGTCCCCATTCTTTGAGTTATAGATCCTTGGGAATCTTTGGCTATATTATAAGAGGTTTTAAAAAGCATATGCTAAAAGAAAAAGAATCATTTAGGGATTAAGACTAAAAGTCCTAATTAAAATCATCAGGTTCAAATAATGGTTTTATCACTTGAGCAAAATTTTTAGCCTTTCTATGTCTCAGTTTCTCACCCATAAGAAAACAGAATCTATCTTATTAGATTGTAGTGTGGTTTAGTTGAGTCTATACATGTAAAATGCTTAAAACATTAAGAACTCGAAAACTATTGACTATTATTACTCTAACATGTGCTTTTGTATTCTTTCAAAGTACAAAAACTATTTTGCAGCTGTCTGCTATAATTTTTCAACACTTTTTAGTTGTTGATAGACATTTGTTTTATTTAGTTATTTATATGTGGTGCTGAGAATCGAACCCAGTGCCTTACATGTGCCAGGCAAGCACTCTACCACCGAGCTACAACTCTAGGCCCTATCTGCTATAATTTAATGTTAAAAGGTGTTGTGATACTTGAAAAGGTTAAAAACTTCTAAGAAAATAGTTGTAAAAGGATCCAGTATACTACCAGCCAGTTCTGAAGTAGAGTAACTGAATCTATGATTTCAATCTTCCTAAATTTATTGAGATGTACTTCTGTCCTAACATACAATCTATCCTGGAGCATGTCTAAAGCACACTTGGGAAGAATACATTGTTAGGTGAATACATTAGAAGAATACATTGTTAGGTGGAGTATTCTGTACACATCTATTGGTTTACAGTGTTGTTCAAGTTCTCTGCTACTTTAATGATGTTCTATCTGGCTGTTCTATCCATATTGAAAGTGAGGTATTGAAGTCCACTACTGTTATTGTATAACTATCTCTTTCTCCCTTTAATTCTGTTTCACATAGACTCCTTCATTAGGTACACATACATTTATAATTGCTATATCTTCTCAGTGTATTGAAGTTTTATCAGTATATACTTTTCTTTGACTCTTGTAGCTTTTTCCTTTTTTTAAGTCTACTTCCTCTGATATGAGTATAAAAACCCCACCTTTCTTTTGGTCATCATTTGCATGGAATATCTTTTTTCTACTCTTTCACTTTCAATTCCTTTCTTTTTATATCTAAGGTGAATCTCCTATACCTAGCATATCAATGGATTATGTTTATTTTTAATTACTGATAAGGAAGTATTTGTTCCACTTAACTATTTGTTTTCTGTATGTCTTACATATATTTTTCCTCATGTTTTCCATTTCTGGATTTTTGTTTTTGCTTGCTATTTTTTGGTATACAGATTAGTGGGATCTACATCCTACTTTTAAGATTAATTAGAGGCTTGGTTTCCAAGTCAAGTGACCTTCCCTCCTTCCAACTGAATAGTTCTGAAGAATACCTCCTTCATGAATCTCTCCCACAATGTTTAAAAGGAAGCACCTACCTTTTCTAGCAGTGAAAGTAGTCTCATGTTCTATCTTTGTTTTCATCCACTGAATCACTTGCCTTTTAGAGAGACACACATATGCACACATGCATATACCCCATAACTATTCACCATTTCATATATAAAGTTCACTGTTACTGTTTTTCTCTGCCTGAGTTAGGCTGGGCTATGGAATACTTAGGAAGGGTCTACTGATGATTGACAAAGAAGTGAGAGGCAAAGTGGCTTACATTGTAGGAGCGGGGGTGCCTCTGTTTCCACTGCACCAGGAGCAGCTGGGCCACCACCAAGGTAGCGATGAGGATGAGGACCATTTCAGCGTGCATGGCTTCGTGGCCACGATGCTTGGCATGCATGCGTGCGTGCTCGACCCTGAAAGCCAAACAGATGGGGTGAGCCAATCGGGGATTATGTGGAGGTAAAGAAGCAGTGTTTCCTAGGGATATTCTACCAGCCCATAGTTCAGAACACGCTCCTATGACTTGCAAGTGAAGGAATCCATGCAAATTAGGGACTAAAAGGACACACATCCTAGAGGACAGACATTAGAGAATAGAATAGAAGTTCTATGAGCCCCACAACAAAGCTCAGCTGTTGAGATTAGACGTGGGTAGTCTGTTGCCTGCCCCTCAAGGTAGAAACAGCTGACAACTTTCTTATAGTAGGAAGGAGATCTCAGAAAAGCCTGTGTTACTGTCTATTTCAGTTCTATTCTGACATGTCAGAAGAAAGTAACCCAGAGTTTATAGCTATGAAGTCTCATATTCTTAGTTGATGATATTTATGACACCTATAAAGGAGTAACATTGCAAATGTGTGCTGATTCTAAGGTTAAAGTCTTGCTTTATTCATCCAACCTTTTTTATTTTATTTTTAATTTTTTGCCAAGGCAAGAACTCTTAAGACCAGTTAAAGCCTAGAAAATCTGGACTGCTTTAACTTTATACTCATCCAACAGTGACTGCATCATTAGTATCCATAAGTAAATTGTTTCCTCAAGGGCTCAAGAAACAGTATAGTTGGAAACTTTTTATTATTCTAAGGTTGGCATTCTCTGGTCTTGAGGACTAGTAGCAAGTAATTCCCTTGGTCAATACTGGCAAAAACTTCCTCTAAGAATAGTTACTCCTACCACTCTGGGTCAGAATCAGTCAAGGCAGAGGAATGAGGGAGGAATTAAGAGAGAAAATGGAATCCAAATGTAGCGTACAATCAGGAGATTTTATATAAATTTCCCTTATACCAAGGTATTAGGGAGAGAGGGAAAAGGACAATATAGATGATGTCTTCATGGAATGCCTAAGGGCAGTGAAAGATTAACAGGAAGAAGAATCCAGTGGGATAAATTATGGGTAGATAAATGATACAGCAAATACAGCAAAAAGTTAACTTTTTTAGGTGGTGGTTAGAGTGGCATTCATCATGTAGTTCTTTCAAAATTCTATGTTTAAAATGTTAGTGGGTGGAAACGTGGTGGACAGAGTAGGCAGCCAAATGTCAATCAGCACCTAAGGGTTCATCTAACATGATTCTACCCTGGGTGGAAGAATCTATCAGAAAAAGAATAGGACTGGGAGTCAGAAACTTAGGTTCAGACTCACCCATGTGAGCCTTGGCTAAGAAACATTACATCTTTCCACCACAATTTCTTCATCTGTCAAAAGGAGTCCAAATCTTTTCTGCCTGCCTCACAGAGCTGTTGTAAGGCTAGGCTAAGCTAAGAGGGTAGAAAATAAGAAATTCATTGCTTGCTATCTTTATAACTCCACACAGCACTTAGGCTTTTTTTTGTTTGTTTGTAGAGGGTAGAAAATACTTAAAACAAACAAACAAAAAAAAGCCTAAGTGCTGTGTGGAGTTATAAAGATAGCAAGCAATGAATTTCTTGTTCTCAGACAAAACACAAGTAAATGGATGTCTATAACATGAAATCAAAGAAAGGATGTAGAAAAGATCAGAAAAGTCATGCACAATACAAAAATGATTTTTGCAACCTTTGCTTGGATACTTCCATTGACTGAGAACATGTGCCTTTAAGTTAATCAATTCTAGGGCTGGGTGTGTGGCTCAATGGTAGAGCACTTGTGTAGCATGTGTGAGGCACTGGGTTTGATCCTTAGCACCACATAAAAATAAATAAATAAAGATATTGTGTTCATCTACAATTAAAAAAAGAAAATTTTTTAAAATATTTAATCTACTCTAGAATTAGCAGGGTCTGGCACTTTGTATGTATTCATATTTTTCATGAATGAATAAAATTCCAGTACTTCAGTGACAGAAAGCTTATTATTTCTCAATATACCTTGATTATTAAAGATATTTCTAAAATTGAGACCAAAAAAAAATCTACCTTCCTACAGCTTAAACACATTGGGCCTAATTCTATATCATGGAAAACAAAGAACATACTACTCCTCTTTTCCAACAACCACCCTTTAAAGATTCATTATGTTTTCATTTAAACAACAACAAAAGCCTCTCCTGTTATTACCTCAATTTTCCTGTGCCCTTTTAGGCTAATAGTTCTAGATCTTTCAGCCACTATTCATGTAACAGGACGTGAAGACTATTAATCCTGGTTGCCTTCCTCTAGACATGATCCTGTTAAAGATCTTCTTAATAAGCACTGCTTAGAACAAAACATTTGTGTCCTGCAAAGCAGAGCACAGTGGCACTGTCACCTTCCTTAAGGGAGATAGCACATTTCTATGAACATCTTCCAAATTACTAAAAGTATTTTGTTAGCTGTGGTTCAAAATTGGTGCATATTGAGCCTAAAGTCACCTAAAACTCATGCTGGGTTTCTCATATGAGTTGGTACCTTTGCTATTCTATATTTTTTATAATCAATAATTTTAATCTAGGGGTTGGGGCTCAATGGTAGAGCACTGGGTTCAATTCTCAGCACCACATACAAATAAATAAAGGTCTATCAACAACTAAAAAATATTTTTTTAAAAATAATAATTTTAATCTAAATTAAGGGATTTTTTTCCTCAGAATAAATTTTACTTGGTTCATTTCAGCTCACTGATCAGCAATCCTGTGAAATCTGTGGGGCCAGCACCCTGACACTCCTTTAATAACAACAAATCATAAAAATAAGATATTTTTTGACTCATTCTGGTTCCAATGCAACTTAGTAGCAGAGCTAAAATGAGAAAATATAACTCCCATTTTCTCAACCAGAGCTCTCCATCAGGTATCATGGTTAATGATGATGATGTTAATGATGATAATCATCTTCAAAACAAGTAACACTTACTGGAAGCTCACCAAATGCCAGATACTATTCTAAGAATTTCACATATTAATCCTCACAACTCTATAAAGGATAGTACTGTTAGGATCCTCATTTTACAAATGGGGCAAACTTAGGCAGTGAGAAGGTAAGCAACTTGTGCAAGATCACATAGTGGAAATGGAATTCAAATTCAGATGGAGGGTTTGGTGCAATTATCCACTTACTCTCTAGGACTGAGGGAGCTACCCAGAAATGATCCAGATACTTGGAAAGATCCCAAAAGACCTGTCTTGCCAGTCTTGAGCCACTGCCTCCCACAGTTGTAGTCATATAACTCTATTAGTTGGATTAACTTTCAGTTACCAAATCATGGAGCCCACAATGCGACACTTACCTCCATTGCTCCTCAGGGGAGAGGTCTGACATATCAACCTGTAGAAAGACATCACCAGAAAAACCCATTATTGTCTTAGTACTATCCCTGCCTAATATAAGGTGCTCATGCACTCATCAATGCCTTTAAGGTACTAAGGAAAATTCCATGCCTCACATTCTCTATTAAGCTTTTCCCCAAACTATTTCACACTGATTTCTCCCTTTTCTAACTGTAGTTTGGCTTAATCCTTGACTGAATGTATGATGCATGCAAACATATTCTGTACTATGCAATGAGGGCAGAAGACTGAAAGAGTCCGAAAGAGTCCTAACTACCAAACACTCAAGCCTAATGAGGAAGACATACATAAACAGAAAATTTCTTTATTATATGATAAAGACTAGCTATAGAAGAATGAAGAAGTGGCTTTTAACTCAATCTAGGGCATTATAGATTAGGGAAGGCTTTTTAGAAGACATGTGAAATATCTAGATAAAGAAATGAGAGAAATATATTGCATCCAAAGAAATAACATAGACATGAAAGAATAAAATTGCATAGTACACTAATAATTGAATATGACTAGGGAAAAAATGCAAGTCAGAATTAGTGAGAGATGAAGCTACATAAAATATTCTGTCATATAATGCCATATGGTTCTAAATGGCACCATGGTTGCAGGCAGAAATTAGACCATGGTAAAATGAGTTCTAGTCCCTGCCCTACTATTAACTACTGGTATGGTTAAGCTCTAAGTTCAGGTTCTCTCTGGGGTCTTGTCTTTTGAAAGCAAGTTTTCTCAAACTTGTCACTACTGATATTTCGGAGTGGTTAACTCTTTATTGGGGGAGAGGTTCTATACATTGCCAGTACCATCACCCCAGGTGCAACAAGTAGAACAGTCTATAGACATTATTAAATGTTCCCTAGGGGACAAAAATCAYCCCCATCAAAAATCATGGCAATAGCTGGGTGCAGGGGTGTATACCTGTAATCCTAGCAGTTTGGGAGGATAAGGCAGGAGGATCATGAGTTCAAAGCCAGCCTCAGCAACTCAGCGAGGCACAAAGCAAATTAGTGAGACCCTGTCTCATATATATAAAATAAAAATGGCTGGGGATGTGGCTCCATGGTTAAGTGCCCTTGGATTTAATCTCCAGTACCTCCCCCCAACCACCACCACCACAAAACAAACAAACAAACAAACAAACAAACAAAAAAAAACAAAAACATGGCACTAGTTTTGAGTTCAGGGCTCAAGTCTTCTACTTGTAGCTATACAAAAGCAAGTTCAAAGCCAGTCTCAGCAATTTAGTAAAGCCCTGAGCAATCCATTGTGACCCCTGTCTCCCTTCTTTAAATAAATTATAAATAAAGCCTGGGGATGTAGCTTAGTGGTTAAGCACCTGAGTTCAATCCCCAGTACCAAAAGAAAGCAAAGTATTTGAGATAAAACAGAACTCCATTCTACTACCAACTCAAGTTAACACATGTTTACCAGCCATCCTTTAAGCCTGTGTACTGGGAATGCCCATCATTATTTAAGGAATGCTTTCTGGCTTCTTCATGTCCCAGCTAAGGAAAAAAAATAAATAATCCCAAGGTTTTGCTGAACCAATGTGGGTAATGAAGTCAACCACCCTCCTTCTTTTTTCTACTTCACATATTGCCTCACAGAATTTACTTGGTACCTTAACTCAGGCCTTCATCTAAAAAGACAGAGGTCAAATACTATGAAAGGGGACAAATTGATACAAAATATGGAAAAGCTCTGCTGGGAGGTACCTGCAGACAATGAAAAATCAAACTTTGAAAAAAAAATCAATGCACAAGTTTCATCTACTTATGAGACTCATATACTGTCTCTGGGCCTTTGTATACTCCTCCTTCTGCTTGGAATGCCTTTCTGCTACATTTTTTCCTATTCAAATCCAAGTTATCCTTTGAGAACCTAGCTTGGATTTCACCTTTCCTAGAAAAGTTTTGATTCTGTAGCATAGTGAATTCAGTCCTCTACTTTTTTCTATCAGTGAATTTTCTCTTTTTTACTCAAAATGTAGCTCATGAACTCAGATCATCTGAGTGCACAATCTCAGGCACCACTCTAAACTTACTAAATCAGAAGCTACCTTTTAATAAACTCTTCAGATGATTATTATGCACATTAGATTATCATGCACACTGTTCTCTAACACACATTCATATCCTTATATTATCTTAGATATGCTTTCTAAATGACCTAACTGCCGCTTAAGTTTAGGACCAACCTGGGTCAAGCAAGGAATCTAGGGCTCATAATTTAAGAAAGCTTCCACTCCAGTTACTACCACTACACTTTATGACCTTAAGTGACTGCTTCAAGTTTGTACCCAGCACCTTGATTGCCTCATCCTGGCCCTGGCCCTGTTTATGTCTAACTTGTACCCAGCATATAAATGCAGAAGCTGCCTCAGAGCCAAGACACACTTTACACCATGTCTGTGTCTACCAAGGAGAACAGCACATAGCTAAGCATATATTAAGCATTCAATGAATACTTGGTAGAACTGAACGAAATTCTTTATGATAAAGTATGCAAGTATGCTAATAAATCAATATACCACCTGGGGATGCTTTAAATTGGTGAGTAAACACTTAAAAAATAAATTAGCTGAGCAAGGTGCCCCACACCTGTAATCCCAGTGATTCAGGAGGCTGAGGCAAGAAGATCACAATTTCAAGGTCAGACTTAGCAATTTAGCAAAACCCTGTCTCAAAATAAAAAATAAATAAGGGTGGCTGAGGAATAGCTAAGTGGTAAGGCCCTTCCCTACCRTGCACAAGGCCCTGGGTTCAACTCCCAAAAGTGCAAACAAATAAGTGGGGCTGGTGATGTAGCTCAGTAGTACAGTATCTTGGATTCAATTACCAATATGAGGGTGGAAGGTAGTAACTAATAATCATCTGAGAAAGGAGTATTCATCCAACACTAGAGCAGTCAGAAAAATGATGTTAAAAACTATGTGACAAAACAAGCACATGTTCAAATTCTCAAGACATGTCCATTGAAGGCAAAACTATAAGATCCAGAAAACTGGGCCAGGCATGGAGTTACCTCTCTGTCAAAGAGGAGACTTAGCAAGTTACTGTCTATGCCTCAGTTTTTCCACCTGGAAAACAAAATAGGACTTCTGACTTCATCAGAAGGCTGTGAGGAAAATACATTGAAGGTGATCAAGTGATTTCCCTGCCTTTCCTCCTAGGACAGTGTGAATTTTTTACAAATTACTAGAAGAGGCAGGGAACTGAATGTTGGTAAAGCACAGAATAGTAATACTTGGGACTCGAGGATCATTAGCACTTCATGAAGTAGTAAAAAGTTAAGAGTAATATATGATCTGGCTTTAATTTTGCCTCCAGAACAAAAAGGTTTTAAATTACACCCAAACCAGTCTTCTGACTCAAGTGGAAAAACAAGGAAAGCAGTTAACTATAGCTATAATTAACCTGTACCATCTGGAAAGACATCTTTATTTTCTCTCTCATTAAGGAGTTTATTCATTTGGGGCCAAGCACTAATCTCAGTCTGAAGGCACCTTGTCTAGAACTCAGTAGCTAACTGGGTAGGTTCTCAGGTCAAGAGTACTGATTGATGGGTCCATAATCAACACTATGACCTATACATAGAATGTTTTATTGCTAGTCAATCACTTCTCTTCTAGGATTTCACTTCTAGCCCCTAGTCATATCAATCTACATAAGCCTAGATTTGAAAGAAATTAAACCAAAAATGCCAGGCAGAGGGCAAGAGAAAATTTTGCAAAGATAAAAAATGGTCAGAAGTTGGCAGCTATATCTTCTAAGGTGCAAATGATTAGTGACTCACCACTATACCCCACAATTTTAGTCTTCCTGTCCTCTACAAAAATAGTCTGTGATCTCTGCATCTTTACATAGGCTGGTTACTTTGTTCCTTAAGCCCCTTTCTGCCTTCCTGCAAAACTTTGATCTATTCCTCCTGGCTTCTGGAAAGTTCTTTGATCTCATTCATTTAAAACACAACATCCTATACTACCTTGCTATCTGTGGTCCACAGCCAATAGCAACAACACTGTGGAAGCTTGGTATAAAATAAAGAATCTCAGACTCCATCCAAGAATCTGAGACAGAATCTTTATTTTAATAAGATACTGAAGTAATTCATAAATATGTTAAAAGTTTAAAAAGCATTACTACTACATCCCAGCACTCACATTCATAAATTGCACCTATAGCCTTTTGCATCTGTACACCTGATTCTATTTATTTGTTTGTTTGTTTGTTTACTTATTTATTATTTATTTGAGATATGGTCTCAATAAGTTGCTTAGGGCCTTGCTAAGTTGCTGAGGCTGGCTTTGAACTTATGATACTCCTGCCTCAGCCTTCTGAACTGTTGGGATTACAGGTGTGCATCACTGCCCCTGGCCTGATTCTCTTTTTGGTAATAACAATTTTACTGAGATCTAATTCACCTACCATAAAATTTACCCATTTAAAGTATATTAGGGGGCTAAGGTTGTGGCTCAATGGTAGAGTGCCTGCCTAGCATGTGTGAGGCACTGGGTTCAATCCTCAGCACAGCATATAAATAAATGAATAAAATAAAGGTTCATCAACATCTAAAAAAAAATTTAAAAATAAAAATTAAAAAAATAAAGTATACTAGGGTCTTTTAGTATATTCACAGAATTATGCCACAATTACCCCCCAAAAGAAACCACATACTAATTAGAAGTCATTATCCATTCTCCCCTCACCCCCAGCCCTAGGTAACCACTAACTTACTTTCTGTATGTATGTGTATATNGTGACCCCTGTCTCCCTTCTTTAAATAAATTATAAATAAAGCCTGGGGATGTAGCTTAGTGGTTAAGCACCTGAGTTCAATCCCCAGTACCAAAAAAAAAAACAAACAAACAAACAAAAAAAAAAAAAAAAAAACAAAAACATGGCACTAGTTTTGAGTTCAGGGCTCAAGTCTTCTACTTGTAGCTATACAAAAGCAAGTTCAAAGCCAGTCTCAGCAATTTAGTAA